TAAAATTTTTTTTAAAAAAAAAAATTTTTAAAAAAAAAAAAAAAAAAAAAAAAAAAAGATTTCAACAAATGTTCAATAGTTGAAAACACAAAACACATATTTTAATTACTTTTAAGCATTTGTTTTAGTGGGTCAGACTGAAGATAAAACAAACAACTTTTTTGATTTACAAAATAAAACCGAGTTGGGTGCACAAGTTGGAATTTACTGTGTGGTTTAATTTTAGCAAGCTGAAGAAAAAAAGAACTCATGTCTTTCCATAGCCATCAAAACTCTGGATAAAGTTAAACTCCAGCATCTATTTCTTGTTTTTAGAACTCACGTCAGTAATTTGTTGCAATTTGTTGTGTAATTCCACGGCAAAAAGACGACGGGCTCAAATGTAAAATTAATGGCACAGATAACCTTAATGAGCATACACAAACTTCTGAGCGAATCTGCGTGTTTTCTTAAACGGCTTTAAGCGTTTCAACCTTTGTTGGATCGTCTCTGAGGTTGAAGGTAAGCTCCAGGTTGTTGAAGAAATAGTCCGAGAATTCTGGGTACATATCCAGCACCTCCAGCAGGTCTTCTCTCTGAATGGTACTCAGGTCGCAGTAACACAGAGCGCGCACGTCTGCGTTGGACTTCCCAGGTGTGGTGTAACGATGGATCATTTCTCCAAATATATCATTTTTTCCTGTTAAGGGTACACAAGGGATAAAATTAGCAAAAGGGAGAAGTACTTCCTCTTTACCTATGTGCTTACACAGAAGAATTTGTGTTAGATTTCCAGTGGGACATCAATCTGTTTGTTGTTTGTCTCCAAAGGGCAGAGGAGGTGCTTCTTTTTTGTGGTTAATGAAAATCAAACTGGGTCTCCTCTCTCTCTCTCTGAAGATGTTCTCCCAAGGCCTGGGCATCAGCTGCCTTTCTATCTTTGATCCATTATTCATCCTGAGGAATAAGCACTAACACAAAGCAACTTTGATGTGCGCTAAAAGAGAGGGCTGCTGGTGATTGACACACATTACTTGTGCACTTCAAAGGAAATATTTGAGCTGGAGACTGCGCATAATGAAGCCAGTTCGTCGGCGAACTCTCATAATATCACGGATTCTGCTGTACAATAGGCTTAGTTTTCAATTGGTGGTACAAAAAGCATCCCTTCTACTTAAATAGAGACCCATTTCTGCAAAGGACAAGAGGTCTAGTCTAAAGGCCATCATGAAAAATCCCTTTGTTGCAGTGTGGGGTTCACTAAATGCCAACTGTGTAAGCAGGGGTTCAGGAAAGAGAGATATGATACGCTGGCTGCCAGTGCTCCGTTCACAGCACGCACCAGACACCTTTCTACGGCAGAGGCAAACTGCACACAGAGTGATACATTTCTCCCCGGCAAGCAGCTCTCAACACAAGGATTTAGATAATCGTTAGTGCAGCAGACTAATTTCATACCAATGCAACCAGCTTTGCAGCGTTATTAGGGGAGAAAAAAAGCGTCTGGGCATTATGAGCATATCCACTATCAGGTATAGAGACTTAATGAGGATAGAAAAAAATAACCCCGTAGCATTCCACGTCTCCAAATTAGAGAGAAAAAAAATCACTATTGATCACAAAAGTTTAAGACCTCTTAAACTTTCTTTTGCATTTTCATGTAATAACCCCTTATATCAGAGCATTGTTCACACAAGTCATCTGAAAATGGAAAGCTTTTGTCACAACTGCAGACCAAGACTGGGATAGCACTAATCAGAAAAACAGCTAAGAGGCCCATGGTAACAATGGAGTATCTGGATAGAACCGCAGGTCAATGTGTTGACAGGACAACTATTAGTCATCCCCCTCCAGAAATGTTGCCATTATAGAAAACTGGCAAGTTTGTTCAATTGGTGTGAAGAAGCCAAATCCCACCTCACATGCAGCTTGCCACACGCTACACAGAGGACATAATTAGACCTAAATCTAATTAAGGATGTTTGACACAAGCTGGAAATTGATGTTTAGAGATCCTTATAATCTGACTTAAGTTCTGATGGAAAGGAAAACTGGCAAACCATGTGCGAAGCTTGTCAAGACATATCTTTAAAGACTTAAAGCTGGAATTGCATCCAA